CTGGCCTGCCAGCTCACAGCCCTTAGGGCCTGATTGGGACTGAGACAAGCTGGAGACATTCCAGCCTCCCTCAGTGCCAGAAAGGAAGGTTCCCGAGGATCTGTATCCAGGAGTGTGAGTTCATGCAGAGTGAGAATGCATGCACAAGACTGCATACATGCAGGTAAGCACTCCTGGCAACGTGCTACTGCCTGTGCCATCTGCACTCTGGAAGATCTGGTGCTAAGGCACAGGCACCTTTCTGTGACACTTGTCCATGTCTGGCTACCATGGGCCAGCATGAGGGAGCCTGTGAGGGCAAGACTGTGTGGATGCATTGAAAGGAAAGCACAGAGCTGCCTCCAAACCACAGGGGCCAGGAAGCAGGGAGAGCTCTGATAGCAAGCCAGCTGCCCTGGCCCACCTTCAAGCCCCAAGGACCCAGGTTCCAGTGGGCAAAATCCCACTGCTTTTGTGTTCTGCCTGCCCTGGAGCAGAGACCAGGGTCCCTTTTAGTAGATGGGGAGTCTGAGGCCCAACCCTTTTGCCAATGGGTCTAGTGGCAGTTCTGTGTCAACCCATTTTAGGGGCCCAGAAAGTTGGGGTGTCAACCCTCTGACCTCCATATAGGGTAGCTTCCAGGCATCAGCCCAAATTTCTCCCCAGTCCCACCAGTGGCCCTGACCCCATTGGAAGGGCATGAACAGGGAAGGATAAGGGTAAAGGGGGTCTTTGTCAGACAGGAGTTTCCTTTCTTCAGCAAGATTCTGTAGTCACTCAAGACCACACAGTGTCCCTTCTAGCTCCAGCATCAAATCTCCAGAGGAGGGACTTGTAATGAGCCCGAACTCAAGGGTCTGCAAACAGGGCCTTCCGAGGGGACTTCCATTTCCTCCCACTGACACCTTGGCCTCTGAAAAGCCACCCACTGGGCCACTGGCCGCTGGGCCACTGGTCCTGTAGGTAGCACATCCAGGTCCCTTCACCATCCTTGTTCATACTGATTGTTAAAGAGGTCTTCCCAGGCCCGCCAAGAGTTCATCCTGCTCCTCCTGATCAGGTACCCCAGAGTAGGAGAGCTTGGTCCCCGCCCCGAGCTGCTCCACCCCATGCTTGTCTACCCTGATGGTGGGAGCAGCACACTAGCCCAAGACTGGCCTCAAATTGAGAGGCTAGGAGGTGACAGTGGCTCTCCAGAGTACCCTGCTGTGAGCTGTGGGGTGGGGGTGAGACCCTGCTCCTTCTGAAGGCAGGCAGACCCTGGTCCTGCCAGTTCTGCCCCCTCCTCTCCCTCCTGTCCTCTTCTGCTCACACACTGGACCACCCACAGAACCCTCTCTGTAAATCCCACCTTAGAGGGAGCCAGTGGGGGGCAAGCAGAGGGAGCTGTGCTGGGAGGATGGGGACAATGTCTGCTCAGTCCTGCCCCATGCCTGAAGGCCACTGAGGGTAACTGGCCAGCCCCATGGCTAGGTCTTTCTTCCACCTCTCATTCAGATCAGCTCCCCACCTTCCAAACAGGTCTTGGGGCAAAGGCCCTTCCCCAACTTGAAGCACACAGTCCGAGGGTCCCAGGGCATCCTTCACCCCTACTGGGACTCTAGGGTCCTGAAAGCCACCCATGCCCTACCCCGATTAGCCTTCTCCCCCTCCCCCATTCTGGGTAGGGGTAACTCCTAGAGTGCCTGTGGAGGATGCCTTCTTGCCCAGAGCCCACCAGCCTCAGCTCTTTCAGATGCTCTTCAGCTCCCACCGCAGCCTGCAGAGCAATACCAGCATCACTAAGGGTCCTGAGCCCAGCAAAGGTGCCAGGACTCAGATTACTCCCATTTGCCCCCTCCCTGTGGTAACACATTTCTCAGGTTTAGGGGGCTGTGGGCTGGGAGAGGTCCCAGACTCCGTGTGACTCTGAACTCACCCCTGCTTCTCTCCCACCAGCTGCCTCTGGGAGGTAGAATGGCCAACGGGGACACAGCAGTCCTAGGCCTGTGTGGCCGCAGGATTGGGGATTGGGAGAATAGAAATCAGGCTTGAAGGAGAGGGGCAGAGGGCAGAGAAAGGCTGGCTTTGG